TTGTTGTCGGGGATGCCGCTGGCCGGCGATGCATATTCGGGGTACCATATCGGGTTATGAAAGCATTTTCTGTGTGATATTTGGGCATATGAATTCGGAAAGGAAATGAGCGTGGTTTGTTTTTGGTTTTGTGAAATACCCCTCCACATGATGTGTATAATGAATAATATAGTGTGGATCGGTCCAATAAATGGGTTCACTACACACTGGCACTTGACTGGAACTTACTTCGAGCTGTAGCACGGTGTATTGATGTACAACACCTACCTGCCTTACTTGCAAGGAATGATGCTGTGTCAATGGGCAATAACTCCATCATGAAATCATTTTGAACTTAATCTTGCATCTTGAGGATATATTTGATCGTCCGGACTATATAAAATATATATCATGCATTGTAAGTTAACCATTCCATCACCCACATTCAAGCCCGAAAGGATTGAGCTTTATAGATTGCTCATCATCATAAACATACACAGCGTCATATCCCATGTTCCAGTCAACTCATAGCCTACTTGAGTTTATAATATACTAAGGCTTTAGATTTGGCACGTGAAATCAAAAATCACTTGATGTTGATCCCGATGCGGCAGAATATACTCTAGTTACTTGTCCCCGGTGACATATTGCCCGTGAACTCACAGAACTTCTAAACTGGCTTATTCCAGGACAACATATTCAGGTCTACAGCGCCGTGTTCTTCATGAAAACAGCAATGATCTCAAGTGAACAAAGCAAGGGGAAGCGGCTTGTCCGAGCTATGAATCCACTAACTATTCTCGAGGTATGTTGTGGATGATTCAACTGCAGGAACTACTGAACTGACCCAATCATCATTTACTTGTGGACTTTACTTGTGGACCTGGGCTTGGTGCAGACCGGTAGTCTTCTGGACCTTTCCACAACATCAAAACTAGCCCTAAGATTCATAGAATATTGGACTTATAGTATAGCACGATAAACATGACTGAATGTATAGCAGTACTGAATATACCTTGCTAGTCAATTGCCGCCAAACCCGCGAAGGGAATCTGCGCCTGAGCGAGTCATACAATGCATTAGTCCGGCTCAATCCGAGGAATTACTCCATTCAAAGCGAGTGGATAGGCCAAGATGTCCTTTGTTGAGGGTGGATATACGACATGTGTTGTATGTACTCCGCACATACGGACCTCGGGAGTAGTAGTGGAAACATTGAAGTGCCTTATAAACCAAATCGAGGCCAGGTCGGCGAATTTCGGACAGAATGGGAATACCCAAGGAAACAAGCATCTTGTGCCCTAGCATTCGAAGACAGGGATGGTCTATGGATTATTGAGTTGTTATATAAATTTCTCCCGATTTGGCAGTTACCCCTTATAGTTGAAGGGCATCCGATATTAAAACGGCAATAGATCGGAAAAACCAATGGATCACGGCATAGCATGGGCCTATGATGAAAAAATTCAAGATAGGGATAGTCCTCTCGGCTTCTAGAAGTTCTTATTCTAGTCCGATATACTAGTGTCAACGGGAATTCAACGTGGAACCCAACAGGGAATCTCCGAAGTCTTCTCCGTTCCTGCTGATCGACAGAGCCTCTCTCTTGGGTGATGTACGGTCGCACCCAAGCTTTTGACAACACGATCTTGGATCCCAAGTCCCGGCAGTGGCTGGCGTACATTATCCAGTGGAGTCAAGTTTGACCATCGCCTTTGTTCCGGTCAATCTTAACGGCCTTGGCGGTCAATCGATCCCCAGTGACCAATGGAAGCCCGTCTCCGCAGCCAATTTATTTTTATCGAAGGAACGTGGACAAAACGTGGACTGGAGACGTGTGGCGTTTGCAACGGAAAGGGGGGCCGTCGACTAAAAATGGCCAATAAGGGTATCTCGAATAGCAGTTAGGTGGAGATAGTTCGGTCAGGATGCCGGCTGATTGGCATTTAGTTCCACACTATTGGATTCAGACCCCATATGGGCCTTTTCAGGCAGTTGGGTTCCCCTATGTGGCGCTCTGCAGATCGTTCTTTGTTTCTCGTGAGGTGCCAGTCTAGTTCAGAGCGAGAACGACAACAAAGACAAAAAGTACGAAGTGCGTATGGCAACAATAATGGGGATTCCTTGACACAGATGATCCGCTATTTAAAGTGGGTTTAGGATATCAGGGGTTTTACTGCCATGGAGGTACTATAGGCGCTGCGTTGTATATTGTACATTTACTGGGCATTTACCGATAGAATCTAATTTATGGTTAATTCACAGAGTTTACTCCGAGACTATGGGCAAGCCCGCGAGTATAAGCTCACGCTAGCCCAATCTACATTGTAAGCCCAAGTATGGAGTAACTAAACCTCGAGGTTCCATGCGCCCTAAACATGGGCATGTAGATCTCAATTTGGTCCTGTAATCCGGTAGCCTCCGAACTGACATGTTCGATTTCAATAATTCTACGATTTGGGATTGTCGTGTTCTTTCTAGGGCAAGAGTGAGGACTTCAAGCAAGTGTAAATGTTACGGATAAGCTTCAACTACAAGTGCCGGAGTGACCACGCCCCATCTCTTCAATGTTTAAAGACATTGGCAATAGTGGACAGACCCCGCTGCTCTGGTTGATTCGGTGCATCTCGGCATAATGGAGATGCTCGTCCCACTTAATGCTTCTCAAAGACTCCATTATAGCCAACTATTGAGCTGACCCGCCAGTCTGGATACTGCTGCTTCTTTGACAAGTAAAATCCCTAATAGGGACAGGGGTAGTAAGATCGTACCTGTAGATCCCTCACTTCACAGTGTATAAATACGGTCTTTCTCTGCGTCCCCATTAAAGTTTTCTTCTTCTCCAAGCTTCCTACCACAGTCATTCTTTCAGCAACTACAGTCACTCTTTTCAGTTCTTATATACCTATTAATTTCACAATGAAGGCCTCTTTCATCGCTACCGTAGCCGCCATGGCCGGCTCTGCTTTCGCCGCTCCCACCACCGTTGTTGGTGCTGATAGCCTTCTCGTCGGCCTCAAGATTGGCGACATCACCGCAGAGCTCAAGCTCAGCGAGATCCCCGTTGTCTACAAGCTCGGTGACCTGACCAACATCCTCGACCTTCCCACCCCCTCCTCCTCTATCAGCAAAGTCCCCGCCGTCAAGAACGGTCACCTCGTCCAGGACCTCGGACACGAGGTCGACAACATCCTGACCGTTGTCGGCGAAGACCTCACCACCCTCCTCATTGAGCTGTCCCCCGAGGTCACTGCCCTCGTCGACGGCCTCGGTCTCGGTTCCCTCGGCGCTCCCCTCGGTTCCATCGTCGCCTCCGCCTCAGACATTGGTGGCATCGTCTCCGGCCTTGGCTCCGTCATCGACGGTCTCGTCACTGTCGTCGGTGCCGACGCCGGTGCTCTCCTCATCAGCCTGTCCCCTGAGGTTGCTGGCCTCGTTTCCGGTCTCGGTCTCCCTACCATTGGTGTCCCCGTTGGTACCGTCATTGCTACCGTAGGCCAGAACCTCAAGCGTGGCGAGATTGTCCAGGACCTTGCCCCTGTTGTCCAGAGCACCATCACTGTCGTCGGCCAGGACGCCGAGGACCTCCTCATCGAGCTCTCCCCCTCCGTCACCTCCCTCGTTGCTAGCCTCGGTCTGACCTCCGTCGCCGGCCCCATTGGCTCCGTCGTCGCTGAGGCTGCTACCGTCGGTGAGCTCGTCAAGGACATTTCCGTTCCCGTTGCGGATCTCCTTCACATTGTCGGCCGTGACGGCAAGAACCTCCTCATCAAGTTGACTCCCTCCGTTGTTGGCCTTGTCGCTGGCCTCGGTCTTCCCACCATTGCCTCCCCTCTCGGTGCCATCCTCACCACTGTTGCCCGCAACCTGTGAATGTTTACAGGCATGTTATGACTCTGGTTGGATAAGCTTGCTTGTGTGGAGGTCTGCCATCGGTATGACTTTGGTACTCACTATAATCATAAGAATTTATTATATTCATCTATACAATTTCCAGGGTATTTGACACATAAGGGCAGGTAGTACTCATAGTAATTAATTTGTGCAGGCGTCTGCAACCAATTTAAGCATTGAAGAGGGGACCTTGCAACGGGGACAGCAGGGGCAGGTGAGAGCAAAGTCGTCACTGGGAGTAGTAGGGTGTTAGAGAGGAGAACACCATGGGGTGACTACTAAGAAGAGAAGGTGGAAGGATCAGCTAGTTATACATAGTATGAAATCATGAAAAGTATCTTGGCAAGGACGTAGGTCCTAAACAGAAACCTTAATGGAGAGGGAAAACCTGTTGCATTCACTGGTTAAGAGAGAGAGAGAGAGAAAGGAAGTTCAGGTGGGGGAAGCAAGGCCCTATCTTCCTGAGGCAAACAACGGTCTCAACAAATCTTCTCCAAGCACCCGGACAAGCCGAGCAGTTGATGAAAAAGGAGTTCGCGTCGACCGGGGGTAGTGTAAGCCCAGTGACACCGTGCAACGAGGCGTGTGCAAGCACAGAGGCCAAGTCGCGAGGTCCAAATATTAGAATAATCATGACGTTCTGCAATACAGAACATTCAGCGATTAAACTGAATAGAACAGATACTACACTTGATCTAAGCCAGAGGCAAAGAGAGCTGAAGAAGAAAGAAAAGAAGAAGAAGTTCTGGGGGCAGGGCTACCTTCTTATAGTTATCCTAAGGGCGGTCGGCTTCTGCCACTATTCACAAATGAGACAAACAACGACATAGGCTCGCTTAATCAATGGTAACGTGATCATGAGAGTAGGAACGGCGTCTCTTATTTCCGGTTTCTTTGGTGTGAGGCATAATGTTTGTTTCTTCTGATATTAGCAAGAGAAAGGGCTGCAGGTACGTATGTATGTATACTAATCTTCATCCCCGTGGGGCCCCACGTTTTGTTTACAGATCTACAGATAATTTAAGCACTCTCTACCTATTGGTTGGTACGGGGTATATGCTTTATTCTTTTTGAATCCATTTACAATGAACAGTCCCAGGTTCAGTTTGCCAAGCTATCTATTTCCTTCAGTTGTAAGGCCACACTTTCGCATGAAAATCCCGCTGGCTCTCGTTCTCAGCCAATCCAATAAATTCCTGTTTGAAACGCTCATTCGCCTCCATGGCACGTTCATAGTATTCGGGCCGAACCATGCCTCCCAGCGGAATAAGCCCTGCGTCTTGGAGCTGATGAACAATGCCCGAAATTCCCTCCAAGAGATCCATTTCGTCTTCATGTCTGAGTAGCTCCTCTTCTCCGAAATCGACTGGAAGCGACTCTTGCTCGTACTTGAGCTCAGCCCAGCGCGCGACAATTTTGATCAAGAAGTTGCGAAGAGTGAATAGATCTTCCCGGTCCCAGCATCGGGGCACTAAAGAAATAGGGTCTATTTTCAGCTTGTGAAGTGGATCGTCAAGAAGTTGCCTTCTGATAGAATCGTTTGTTTTTGTGACATCATAGTAATGCTCTAGAAGCATTTTTTCCTCTTGTATTTGCTGATCAGGGCATGGCGAGGCTGACAATTCCAGCATCTGCGGATGGCAACACTGTAAAAATGCCGGGGATACAGCCGTCTGCTGCCAGTCTATAATGCTCGTGATACGATAGGTCTCTGGGTCGACGAAAATATTGTCAAGGTGTAGATCTGGATGCGATATCCTGTTTGGTTGCTCAGAAGTGGTGGGGACCAAAAATGGAACAAGTGCCATGTAATCCTTGAGGAGGGCAATGTAATCATCTGGTGTTTCTGGGCACTCCGTAGACCTGTGATAATTCATTCTCGGCCTAGCATGAGAAATAGCCCATTGAATCTCGTTTTTTCCGATGGCTTCAGCATAAGCCGCAATAGATTCCCCTAAAACATTGTTAGCTAAGTGGACTGACTGCCTTTGCGACTTAGAAGCGTACATGGTCCTCGATCCAAGTTCATCCTAGCTTTCTGCTTCTCCCAAAATATCGGACTGGCCGAAGGTCCTATTGCGAAAGATGGCAGTGTGTCGTTTCCATCAGCTGCAGATCCCGAACGATAATTTCGTTTCGTCTCAAGCAACTCATAGTCGCATGGTTTTGATTGAAGATCTGATGTATAGTATATGCACCCGTGCTTCGAGAATGTAATCGATGCGAGTCTTTTCTCAATGTCCAGAATTTGGTCCACTAAATGGAATTTTGTCGATAGGGAAACAGTTCCCCAGAGGTTTCCCAATGGCTGACCGGTAGCTTTTTCCTCGAGAATGTATTCAGCACCGATTTCGTTAGAGGCATTGGACGACCAATCATAAATACGCGGAATAGGAATGCCGAGCTGATCGCGCAACTTATTTATTGATTAGCTCACCCATGGAGAAACAACAGCCTTTACGTACAAAGTGCCGAGTCGCAACCTCCGAAGCCGTTGTGAAGAATGATGGGCCTGCATTAGGGTTAGGTAATCGAGCTATGATTTCACAGCCATTGCTCATGGTCAATAGAAAAGCCTTATTAAACTGTCCCTCGACGCATTTGAGTAACTTTACACCTGTTTCAAAAGTCAGTATTGAAGCGATTGGGTGGGTAGCCACTTACAAGTCGTTCCCGCGTTTCCGACAGGTTTAGCAGAAGCATTCAGAAGAGCCTGCAGGTTAAACTTGCGATAGCGCATTGCTAGCTTTTCGGGTTCTCCACCCCTGAAGAAGTTAGATTAATACGAATCCGCTCACAAGCGTGACATACAACCACCGATATCGTTGATATCGGAATAAATCATCTTCCTCAATAGGTTCCTCTGACAGGAGGGTTAGCCACCGAGTTGAACGTCCTCGGTCAATGAGAAATCACCCGTTCCATCCTCCAGCGCTCTCCAAAGAGATATCGTCCTTGCTTGTGGCATCTGGGTTCTTGTTCTCCTCAAGCAAGGGAGGTGACTTGAGGATAGGAAAACCCTGTATGAAGTGTGGCCTCGTATCAAGGTATTCATCTTTGGATGGTGTGCTGAAGACTAAGGTTGAAGGGGTAATCGTCGTGGTGTCGGTGAGCCACACCCCTGACACTAAACATTGCAGGTATCTTTTGTATGGCATGTCCATACAAAAGGTACAAACTGTAGTCTTGGCTTTTATTTTTTCGTGATACTAGCTATGAAACAAAAGATTTATACAATATAGCACAACTCTGCACTGTGTTTTGCAAAGGAGCCTCAATATCCCCATATGTTCTTTGCTATCAAATTTTCACTGTTTACTGCCAATACTGAGCATCCGTAGACAGAATGAGTTGCGGCTGATACATTCGGCGCTAGTGCAATTCTGAAACATTTATCAATGAGATTGTCTAGGGAATACTACCTGTTATGGAAATTGCATAGAACAAGTATCCCTGAGGTTTAGAGCACTAATTCGCTAAGATATGTTCTAAAAATAGAACCGTATCAGCATAGACTTTGTACCTCTACTCCGTACTCGTATATTAACTCTACGGCGTACTCCGTCCGCATTACCTCCTTAATATGCCCGCATGTAGCAAATATAGTCCCAGGTAGGTATATTACAAATCAAGTATCTCGTCATTAGCTCCGAAATACACAAATGATTATTATTATATTGCTTATCTCGGTCCAATAACCTTTGGTCCGTACCTAGGTAGCTCCAAGATTTAGGGTCCGAGCGGCCTATCAGAACGTCGCCTGGGTCCGCACCATAGGGTTTGCCCGACAAAGCCCCGCTTTTATTCTTTGGATAGGCCAATGGTGGTCGATATATATCGAGTAAAGAAAGGTTTATCTTTGACTTTCTCCGCCACCTCCTGCCGTTTTGCCTCGTATTTCTCTCCGCAGGTCGGTTTTTGCATACATCCCCTTCCTCCACGTTGTCCCCATCTCCCCCTGGAGGCCTCTTTCGCTTCTTGTACATATATGTCCTTCTCCTCCCTGTTTCGACCCTGTGACTTATGTTTTATAATTGTATCGCAATACCGTCGCTGCCAACAGCGATGTCCTCATGTCCCTTGCCGACATTGCCGGCAGGAATTTCACCTCCCCTGATCGCTCCGGTGACCAATTCGCGGTGCGTACTGTAGTCGCGTGCCTCATCGGCATTGCCTGGTACAATGCCTTGGAATTGATCGTTCTGTGTTTCACCACCTTCAAGAGATATGGCGGGTGCTATTTTTGGTGTCTCCTCATTGCCTCCTTCAGTATAATTCCGTTTGGTATGGGATATATCCTCATCATCTTCAATGTATACGACAACATGTTTCCCGTGGCGATGGAGCTAGTTGCGTGGGTTGGGATGGTAACGGGCCAGTCCCTAGTCCTCTGGTCTCGATTGCATCTTGTCTGCCACAGCCGAACCGTGCTCCGCGTCACTCTCGCCATGATCATTGTTGACGCGATCATTCTCCACATCCCCGGGGCCGTCCTTGAGCTCGGTAGCCATTCGAACAAATCCTCTCTCTTCACCGACGGGTTCAACATCTTCGAGCGCATCCAATTGGTCGGATTCTCCATACAAGAAATCATTCTCTCCATTATCTACTCCTGGGAAGCTGTGCGACTACTGAATCTCCGCCCGAGAGGCCATTACCGAGGTACCCTGGTCCAACTCTTGATCGTGAATGTAGTCATGATTATGATGGACGCCGCCGTTATCGGAGTACAATACTCTGGTCTCTTCGATATCCATGTCACCCTCAAGGCAATGGTCTACAGCGTCAAGCTCAAGCTGGAATATGCGATCCTGGGCAAATTGGTGCACATCACCGAGGGGGGGCAGCAGCTCGACCCCGACCGACCTGTCGGATTTCGTGGATCTTTCCTTACATAATCCCCGCACCCCGCGACCGGATAGGGACACGATCAGAGAGAACACAGAGAATGGCTCCAACACTCGGATGCGAGTCCCCTCCAAGGGCTCGTCTACTGATCCGCTACGAAGGAGTCTCTCCGCCCATAGTCCGAGTTCGAGTAACCCGGACTACTCTTGATGATTTCACATGTAATAACGACCTCTTGGATGTTTCTGTACATAAAAAGTTACTTAGTATATAATGACGACATAGACCATACTCTCACCAGTCGAGTGTTAAATCTCTCACCTATAATAGGAAAGTAATAACGGCGTTGTCAGACATCGCCACGAGCTTGATATCAAATCGAGCACGGTACCTCGTATTCCGTATATCAATCCGCAATCCCCAAACCCACTGAACCCACCTATCGACCCACCCATACCCAAATCCACAATATGTACGAACCATGACCACTCCTGACCCAATCCCTCTGAACCCCAACTCACCTCATCCTACGAGTCCCCCACCACCAAGCGTAAGCACAAGACCTGCAGAAAGACCGAACCTTCGCAGAACTCCTCAGACAACGGAACAATCCTTCTCTCCTCGAACTCTGTGCGCGTAACGACTGGTGTATCTGACGTCCGAGAAGGCGTCGGGGAGGTTATTCCTGTTGGGGATATAGGGGATTTGACCCTGGCTTTGCCTTTTCGAAGGGGTTTGAGAGGGGGCAGAGTGTGGTAGAAGCTATTGGGCCGCGAATTGAGGGGGGGGTAAAGGTGCGCTGTGAATGTTCGAGCAAGCTGGGGCTCGTAATAATGTATGACGTGTTGGTGATGCTGGATAGTAACGTGATGATAATCATAAGTACTGATTATTCTTCTATTCGTTCCATGACTGCGGGTGCTACGCCCTTTTACGATCATCCAATAGTAAGAATACCTCATCGCCGATAGTTATATGCTCCTCGGTAGTACTCTTCTGGTGGATGTCTAGCGAATGGAGATATTCCTTTCAAACCAGCAACGAGCCGCCTCCAGTCCTAGAAAAGTTGAATGTTTGGACGTGCTTCGCTCCTTATAATGCTTCGTTCCTTATAATGCTTCCTACCGAAGTCACCTCGGAGGTCCAAAGAGTAGGAAATCCATTTCCTCTTCAAGAGGTAAAAGAGTCTTTTCCTTGAAGGCGTTGCAGTACTGATCATCATCGAAACTTGCATCGGGGTCGAGGTATCCTTGTAGGCAGGTCAAAATAGCCTGGGAGAAGGCAGATGATAATCTCCCATGAGAATTTTTTTCCTTGAGCCATCCCTCCGCTAGATGGAGACCCGATTGATCACCCGGTAAGATATTAGTGATTTGATCATATCCGAGTCTTTGCTCAACTGGCCTTCCGGAAGTAATTTCAAGCAGCATAATCGCCGAGGCAAGCAAGTTCGAACAAGTTCTGTTGATAGGTATAGGATCAGATCCAGTTCCTGATTTTTGGATCAGCTGCGATGATTTCGAAGTTGAGTCCTGAAGCAACGCACCTCGATTAAATTCTTTCACTAAGGAAGGATATCTTAAGTCGACAGACAATGGCATGTTACTGTTGGCTCTTGCGAACACAATGTCCCTCTTACTCCATTTGGTTTCAAGCCATGGAGTATGGTTTAGTTGAAAAATCGACGCTATCAAGGTGATGGCGAGTCCATACACTTCTGCTATGGGCAGTTGGGCCTCGAATTGCGGAAGGAGGGCCTCGAGAGATGAAGACTGCTGAACGTATTCAGCAGCGGTCTTTTCCAAGGAAGGGCGTGATGCAAGACAGCCCTTATCATTAAGGCAGAATACCACGAATGGATGCGGGGGTTGTCTAATGACTTTGCATAAGCTCGTGACATGCTGCAAATTTGCAGGGTCGTGGTCGTCCTCTGGAACTGATATCGTCACGCGAACAGTTCCTGTTCTCGTGCTACTTTAGCGTCATCACTAGAGCTCAAAAAGACAGCAAAAGAGAACCCAAAAGTGCCTACCTCGACGAGAGTTCGTCAATCCTTATTTCAGAATTCAACCACTGAGAAGACGCGTTGCAGTCCCCACGAAGACTCAATCCGAAACAAGTCGCCTGCGCCACCAAGTTCAAGCTCGCTGCTTGCAGAGGCCTCTTCGTTTTCTTTGGTCTTACCAGCCGTTGCTCGAGGAGCAGACATGCGACATGGACAGGGTTATCGTCACACCAGTTTCGAGATATTCCTTGATGTACTTTGGTCGCGTTCTCTTGAATGGTACCCAATGATGCAGAAAATTTCAACTTCAGACGACTCTGCGGTGTTTCATCCTGCAGCTTGTCGGCTCTAGTTGCCCAAGCATCAATTCGCTTTGTACAAGTCTCCAAGCGATCTACCGCGTCCTTCACGCGATTTTTCTTCATGGTAAACTTGATCCTCCTTCCGAATTCGAAATCTTTGTCAAGGAACGAAGTATTCGCGATCCGCGGATTGGAAACGACAATCGGTAGGAGGTTTTTGCTTGTGAAACCCTACCAAAGTCAGTGTTGAGTCTACCTTCCAAGAGAGTGCTCGAACCTGCTGCGATCCATCCAGGGATATCGAGGCAGGCCGCTATCTCGACCAGGATTTCTGACACTTCTTCTATGGTGAGAATGAGTGGGTCGTATACTGACCCTAGCCTATCGCGTAGACTGTCAGCGATGTCTCCTTTTCTCCACAATTCGTTTGGAGGATCCTCCATCATCGTGGTTTGGTCTGCGATGTCGGCTGTCTTCAGTAGGACACGAACGGCTTGGTCGTAAGATATGTTTATTGTATAAAGCTCCCTAATTAACCTTCGCACATGCCGTCTCCAACGAAAAAAAAATCTTTTGTGGGAGCTGCCAATTTCTCGTAGTTCTCGAGGGCAGATATAGGCAGAGGAATGACTCCTAGGACGAGTCCAGCTACTTCCACTCCTGTCACCATCTTGGATTGGGAGGCGGTTGGCGAGATAAATCAACATGAAAGAAACAAGGCTCTTCTCTCTTCCCTCGATCGAGCTAAGAAGTTATTCCCCCAAGGGAAACGTGTTAACGTGGAGTCTCCCTAGTTCCAACACCCGTGACCCGATCTCAGCCGCACGTCCTTTTGTCGTGGCATCGACCCCGCCAACACGCAGATCTTGGCGTTCGTTCAAACGAATGGTCTTTTTACATTCCGTCTCATCCTTCCGTTATAAGCGATTTGATTGTGATCAGGCATTGGAGAGAACCTCGGCGAGCCGCGTGGATACACCTTTGGTTCCATTAGGCCCGAGTCCACTCTAACAAGTTTGCAACTCATCAACTACGAAAGATAGAGATGAATCTCACGAGGTGTACGAAACAAGATTTCCTATACCTCTGAGATTAAAACCCTAGCCATGGATGACATCGGCGCCCTTTCTACCTCTTGCGCAAGTTGCTTCGATACTCTGACACGATCGCTGCGCATATCTTCGGATGAGTTCAAGAAACAGATGATGCCAATAGCAATTGAAAATGAATATGCCCGCTTCAAGATTTGGGCTGGCAATCTGGGCGCTTTACAGAGAGGCCCACATTCTCTTGACGCTAGATTACGAGACTCGGTGGTGCTACGAGCGGCTGTCCTCAAATTCATGGGAGAGTTGCAAGACTCTTTGAGAAAGAGTACGTTGTGCCACACCTCCTATCATCTCTAGCTGGAACCTCTTATTGACTGTTATTGCCTAGGTACCGAGATCACCACAGGTCTTCGCCTACCGTACGAATAGGGTGGCGATGCCACACATGGTCCCGACGAAGATGTTGAGGACAACAGTGACACCAGTGACACCAGCAGTGACTTGGAGTCTGGAGAACTAGCTGAGAGACTCGATGAAATCAAGGATATCATGGAGCACCTGTATAGGCTCTCGTTCAAGATACGCAACACGAGATATCGTTCTCTCACCAAGAAAGCTCTTCTGATGAAAGAAGAGGATCCACAAACCGGGAAAGACCTGTTCTCGGCGTATGCCATCTTCGATCGTCGGCATGTACAGGAGTCACTCAATCGCTTGCGCCAGCGTCCGTCATCAAAGGAATTCGCTGCTGAACCTGCACGAGACCCAAGTGACGGGTGTTTCGATGTGTTAGATGCTGGGGATCGCCTGTTAAATAGCGACGACTTTCTGCAAGATCGCTTAGCAAAAGGAATCACCAACCGGAGAAAGTATTTTGCATATTGGCGGAGACATGCTCTCAAGCTCTCACACGTTACGGATGAGCTAGCCCCCCAACAAAATTTCACAACTCTCGTGAAGCCTGCGAAGCCTGTTTCCGGGTCTCCAACCACACCCGCAATCTCAGGGTATTTCCTACCGACTCCAGGGCCAAAACCCCTGCTTTCAGGAACCGATTTCTCTATGTATAACCGTGAATTGGACGACCAGATGGATGCAGAGACCGTGATTTCTTACGCGACTACAGCCTATGACGTTGAAGGAAATTCCCCAGAATTACCTCCACCTCCTCCCGATGCGGCCACGAAGCTAGAGTTTGTTTGTCAGTATTGCTGGGTGGCTTGTCCGTCGAGACAAGGAAAAGGGAAGTCATGGCAGTAAGTGTCTAAGATCATTGACAGGATGGAGCATCGTTCTAATGAATATTAGAGAACATATCCGACAAGATCTCCAGCCGTACGTATGTACCTACGAGGAATGCTCAGACGCCGACCGCATGTACGCCAGTCGGCATGCGTGGCTTGAACATGAACGGCTAGTCCACCGTCGCATATGGAGATGCTTCGAACACAGGTCCTTCAGCTCCAAATCAAAAAATGGCTTGCTGCAACACTTTTTGGACTGCCACAAAGGTCTAGATGAGCAGCAGATTGAAAATATCCTGGATATAGCCGAGACGACGGTAGCCGATGACAGACAAACATGCCCATTCTGCTACTCGATTGGACCTTTTGATAAGGGGTTTCACAATCACGTGGCTCCACCAGGAACAATTCGCAACATTTGCAGTTCCACGAAACTTTGACAGCAATAAAGAGGCGGACTCTAAAAAATTCGAAGGCATTAGATCAGCTGGATCTTTGCGTTCCGTTGCTCTAGATTTCCCGGACGGTGATAGCAGCCTTGACAGCGACGACAGCGACGTATCAGTGAACCAAGTCGGCAACTCCCTGCTTGACTCTGCGAAAATCGGAGACCGCGCGGCTGTTAGGCTGCTACTCGAGAAGGGCGCCGATCCCAACTTAGCGGATTATAGTGGCCAGACGCCGCTATCGTGGGCAGCTGAGAACGGTCACGAGGTGGTCGTAAAGCTGCTACTTGAGAAGGGTGCCGATCATGCCTTGGCGGATGATAATGGCCAGACGCCGCTATCGTGGGCGACTATAAATAGCCACGAGGCAGTTATAATACTACTACTCGAGAAGGGCGCCGATCCTGACTCGAAGGATACTATTCATGGCCAGACACCGCTATTGTGGGCGGCCGAGAACGGCCACGAGGCAGTTGTAAAGCTGCTACTTGACAATGGCGCCGATCCCGAGTCGATAGCGTGGGCGCCTAGGTCTTCAGAATCAGATTCAGAATTAGACGATTCGGATCAAGGGTCTGTCATTCCCGACAGCCTCGCTTCAGAGGATTTCACCTAAACCTCCCGTGATTTCTGGAAATAAACCATGTGCTGAACAATGGGAGGGTCACTTCACAGCTGGAACTAGGCAGTCTGTGAGGCGCCTGGTCGATCTGAAGAAGAGAAAGAATGCATTCAATAACTAAGATGAGGAGAAGGAAAGACGAAGCAAGTGCAAAGTAGAAGTAGCCAGTTGATATAGCTGACAAACGTTGCAAGCCTCGAACATAGTTAACTAGTTAGCACGCGGCTACTGACCAATAATGCAATATAGGATCTAAGATGTACGGAAATGTGCCATTTCTGTTGATACCATGTCAACAGTGAATCAAATAGACTCGATCAGACTCAAGATAAAGACAACAAGGTGGATCCGGAATGGAAACGCTATTCTCAATCCGGTAAGGAGTGGGTGCACAGCCCCATAGAAGCCACACCCCCTTTATTTGGATGTGGCTGCAAGTTTGACCTTCTAGAATCGTAACTACATTAAGCGCAAAACAGCAGGAATCCAATTGAGTTTCTTCCCCTATGTCGTATTGAAGATCCGAAGTGTTGACGTCAAGTTGAGCAGAGTCTGATATCGCGGACCATGGATGATGATGGAACGCGTGTGCCAAGACTTCGATCCCATCAACCTTGGAAGTTGTAGATCTTAGGGTTTATGGGGATGTATGGGCTTTTAGGTGGGAATCTATACCCCTAGCTCTCGGAAGAACACTAACCTTATGCAGCTAAGGAAGTGGATGACGTGAATCTGGAGCTGGGTACGTACGGGGTACCCCATCCAGGTGGAGGTTAATCTGACCTTACACCTTACATATGACACAACCCATAGAGCACCCACCCAGCAAATCAAATATAGCTGCAACGTTCTAGGCTGAAAGGGACAAAAGAAAATCCCAACGAGACTGGGAGGGAGCAGATGTCCGTGTTAGTTGTGGCCAAGCTGTGCCACGACAGAATGACGTCAGGTGTCGATCACCGCCGTAGCAGTCCCTACGGAGGCTCTTTTTATCGCATTGGGCTCCTTGTGGCAGGGCCTGGTTCTGGTGTCCAGCTCATCATAATGGCGCTATTGTCCCTTGTCTTTTATATTCCGTCATCCCTTCCCTCCTACTCTGACTTTTCTTTCCCTTACCACATTTTCCTTCATTCCAGTGATACCCCTTGTTTTGTGCCTACATAGGTTCAATAAATATAATTAATTGTGAGTGAGTGACCCTCGTTTGTCCTGTATGCAAACGGCATCTCTGACCCTGTCTTTTAGTTCATACATAATACCTCATCCCCTTATCATTGGTCTGATATACATACTTCCATCATGTCTGTGAACGTTCCCACAAATCCTAAACAGAAGGAGAAGGTATGTATGACAATGCGACCCCATTGAAACCACACTGACAGGGAATCTCCAGGATATCAACCAGAAGCTTCAATTCTTTGGTATCTACCATGGTAAGTCCAGCTTCACATCCTCCAATTGACCATTCCTGTACTAACTGTGTCTGCTATAGCCTTCAAGAATAGCAAGCTCCCCTCGGTCCGTCTCAATCTCCCACCGCCACTGGCCTTGCCACAAATGCTAACTAGGTCTCCTCCCACAGAACAAGCAATGCGACATCGCTTTGAACAGTGTCTTGAACTCCAAGGCCCTTAAATCTCCACCAAAGGAGCTCTCACGCGATGGAAAGGTCCTTGTGGCAGATCTGCGCAATGTCATCGACGCAGCTAAGAATATGCTCTTGGTCAAGAACGAGGGCAACCTCCTGCAAGACTTTGTCTGGCAAGCCCAGAGGATGTCCACTGGCAATGCGGATGCCAATCGCCCTGGGCTCCCCATCGACAAGGAAGCCGGTCAGCAAGATGCTAGCAAGGCCATTGATGGCCTCAAGACCCTAGGCACGCTCATGATCACCAACGGAGAGTTTAGAAAACTACGTAAGTAAGCTTCCGTTCGCGAATCACGGACATTCCTAACAACGCGCAGTGAGCGACGCCATGACGCTTGGCAAAGACATTGCGGCCGATGCTTCTCAAAAGGCCGCCAACCAGGTTCGCCCTTCGCAGGATGAGCTTTCGCAGATCGACCAACCTGCAGAGGCCAACGTGTGGCACGAGAAACCCAATGTCTCCAAGGATGACCTGAAGTCCAAATTTAAGAAGAACAAGGCTGTATGTATTCCTAGTGCGCTATAATTCGGCACATACTGACACTTAGCTCAGGATAAGGGAAGCGCTGCTTCCGCTTCCGCTGGGGTTGCCGAGGAAGAGACTGGCGTGTCACCGCAGAGCAAGAAGAGGGAATTATCTGACAGGACCAAGGCCTACTTGTCTGAGAAAGTTCCCAAAGAGCGTCGCGAGCAGACCATCTGGCGCCTGAAGAAGATGATCATTGAAATCCAGGGTCATGAAGACTGTAAGTCACCCACAATCTCTATCGATGGCAAAGATTACTAACAAATTATGCAGACCAGCAAGCCGTTGAGACCCTATTGAACATGGCTGAGCAATACGCCGGACACACCAAAGACCTTTCCAAGGAGGGCAGCAGCTCTGCCCGTGACGTCCTGAAGAGCGACGATGTTCAGGCTGTTCAGTACAATTTGCGCACTCTTATCGAACGCTTTGCCAACCACACCTCTCTAGACGGCTTCTTCGAATCGCTCAACGCCATTTACCGTGAGGCTGAGAAGGACCCCGAACTCCGAAACTGGTTCAAGAACGTCAGCAACTTGATTCGGTAGGTGAATTGGAACACTTCCCCTAGAATAAAAGCTGACCGTAAATAGCAAATCTCTGCGCGAACAGGGCTTCATCATGGAAGAGGAATGCAACCGCCAGTGGAACGATCTTTACGACAAGGGCCGTTACCTCCTGCGCGAGCGTTACCGCGGTTACTCCGACCGCATTGTCGACGAGATCAAGTTCTTGGGTGACCAATTTGAGCAGGACGTACAAAACCAGGCCCTTGCCGAGTCGTTCCAGAAGCTATTCAAGGATCTGGGCCACGATTCCAGTGGCAGGCCTTCCTTTAAGCCGGATCTTCTTCGTGATCTCCGTGATGTCATCATTCCGCAATTTTTCGAGAACGTCCGCTATGTTCCAATCCCCCGTATTGAAGTGGCGGACCCCATGGTTGATGTTGTAATCGAGAACCTGTGCCTCGAGGGCGACAACTTGATGCCCAACGTTATGGAGTTCGGTAGCGACAACTACTTCCGCTGGGGCCGCAAGAAGATCTCCAACAAGAGTGATAATAAGATCATGATTTCCATGTCTGGTATCCAGATGGATCTGCGCGATGTTGGATACTACATCAAGAAGAAGGAGGGCTTCCCCACCATCACCGATCGCGGAATTATGGACATCTTCCTCGGCGGCGACGGTCTCAGCGTGAAACTCGCTGCCTCTACCGCCCAGCCGAGCGACAAGGAGCACTTCTTCAAGCTTGACAGGGTGGATGTGACCATCAGGAACATGGATATCAAGCTGAAAAAGTCCAGCCACAAACTGCTCTTTTACACCTTCAAGCCCATGCTGTTCCGCGTAGTCAGGCCTGCTCTGCAGAAGGTCGTCGAGGCCCAGATCCAAGAAGCCTTCAGAAAGGGCGACCTCTTTGCCAAGGACGTCCACACCGAGGCGACGCGTGCCCAGGAAGCCGCCCGTGAAGACCCCGAGAACGCGCCGTCCATCTTCTCCCGCTACGCCGATGCCATCCGAGCTCGCATGCAAGCCAAGGCCCAACAGGCCAAGAGCGCCGCCCAGCGTGATACCCACGTCCAAACCGTCATGACCCTCCACGATTCCCTGTTCCCTGGAATCGAGCTGCCCGGCGCTGTATCCACCAAGGCCACCGAGTACGCCGACCTGGCTGCCAAGGGCGCGCGCTGGGAGTCCCCCATCTTCAGCATCGGCAGCGCAGCCGAGTCCAGAGGCATCCCGTCCGGCGAGCCCATCACCAGGAAGACTGCCCGCCCTGCTAGCAGCAGCGGTACAAATGCCGCCGCTACTTCGAACGCTGGCAACGCCACTAACCGCAACAGGGTCTCCGGATCCCAGCCCCGTGGCGGCTTCTCCGATGAGGTTGATAAGGCTTTCGTCAATGGCAAGCCTCACACCTTGGGTGATTCCTTCAAGCATGGCACTGATGGTGTCACTAATACTACCGTTACTAACGGAGCTAACAATTTTGCAACCGCTGTCTAAACTGTGTGGCCGAAGTCGGTATGAATTTGCGTATCGTTATTGTCTTTGTTTCTTGACCTTTTTTTTTCCCTGCTATGATTTCCCCTTGTGCACTACGAATGTTTTATTATTTGTACTAGTATTGAGTTAACGGTAGCCTAATACATGATGCCATCGTTGTCTGCGTTCTCCAGAGTAATCTCGAGCTTTGACCAAAGCTAACTCAGTAGAAACCAAAGTACCCAGAGCCGTGGAAGGTAGAATAAGCTTAAAAGTCATTCATTGTCGTCTATAAAGAAGTAAACTGAACTCCACTATACAAGAAGCCCAGGGAAGGTAAGAAAATCCCACACATTTCTCTTTTCTTTCGGCGTCCACTTTCGTATAAAAACCTCATATCAAATCACAAATCAAATATCTACGTGCTTACCGTCTACATCTGATCAAAGTACTTCTGCCACCCCAACTCGCGCAACTTGGTACCCTTCAACTCCATGTTCTCGGCACGGGCAGCCTCGGCATACGCCTCGACCTTGCGCTGAATAGCCGGGTCGAAAGAGCCAAGCACACGTACAGCGAGGAGAGCAGCGTTGATGCTGTTGTTGATGCCGACAGTGGCGACGGGGACGCCTATCACGGAATGTTAGATATAGATCGGGTCAAAGTAACTGAGTGTAAAAGGAGAGTAAAGTGGGAAATAACGTACCTCGAGGCATCTGCACAATGCTGTACAGACTATCGACGCCGTCGAGTGAGCTCCCCTTAACCGGCACGCCGATGACAGGGAGGGCAGTGTGAGCGGCTGCCATACCGGGAAGGTGGGCAGCACCA